AATAAAGGTGGGAAATACATACGTACTGCTAAACACCTGATTGTTCTCCTAGGTGGTTGAGCCCCTTTAGCTTTTTTTTTTCTTTTTGCTGTTTGATTCTTTAGATCAGTGGTTCTTAACCTGGGCGATATTGCCCCCCAGGGGGCGATTTCATTTTTCAGGGGGGCGATGGAACGAAAAGGAGCGATGCGGGGGTGAAGGAACGAAAAGGGGGCGATATGGGGCGATGGAGCGAGAAGTTTTGGGGACACTTTTGAGACTTTTTCGTACAGTGAATTGCTGCATATCTGTCATACAAAAACATCAGATCGCTCGCTATTAGCGGATTGAATTGTTTTCAACTGTCCCTCCAGCTAGCTACAATACAGTACAGTTCCTCCAGCTAGCCGTACATATGTGAATACGCATCTTCATGCACGTTGTGCAGTAGCCTCTACCCATACAGTGGTGCGCTATTGGCCAGAATATGGGAGATGTGGGGAAAAGACTGGAAATAAATTATTTGCATCGATATGTCCTGATGACAATTTTAAAGAAAACAAAAAAAGTGTTTGCATAAATTAAAGAATTATTTCCTATGTTGTGACTGAGAGGTTATGTTGGGGGAGGGGGGCGATGACAACTTCCTCATTGGCTCAAGGGGGCGATTCGTTCAAAAAGGTTAAGAACCACTGCTTTAGATCAAACGTCTGGTCAGGGTTTTTTTTGTTTTTTTCCTGATGTGACTTATTTCCTTTTTAATTTGTAAATTACCCAGATTCACCTTGGATTTGGGTGGCCTTGAAATTAAATGCATGATAAATCTGTACATGCATCCTGTGAAAATGTCCCAAAGTAGGTTTCAGTGTTAAATATAACATAAGCAGGCCTATCTCTGGACCAGGAGTAGCATGGGTTTAAAAGAAACAGCTTTGCAAGTAAACTCTGAAACAGACTCTTCAATTGCAAGTACCACATGCACACACACACCAATGTGATGCAGCAGTTAAGGGAGTGGGTAGATCCAGATTCTGCACTCAAAAAAGACTAAATATAATTGAAATACTTCCAGCAAAGCTTACTGTTTGCATACAGGTAATCTTTGATTTCTGATTAGTCGCTTAGAGATCAGTTGAAACCATGATAGACCCCCCCCCCCAGGTACTATGACCTGTTTCAAAGTTCCAGAGGTGAGCCCCCCATTATGATCACATGGTTATATTTTGGACATTCACTAACCAGCCTGCATTTATGGCCCTTTGCAACATCTTGCAGCCATATGGATGTGATTTACAATATTTTTGCCAAAAACTGGCATTTACTTCTGGTTTGGGGCAAAAAATGCCCCATAATAAACAGTGGATTTGCTTAACAACTGCAGAGTCATTTAACCATGGTGATTCGGTTAATGACTACCACAAAAGTAAAATTGGGTCAGTTATGTGATGACCTGCTTTACAGCCATCATGTCTTACAATTGTAATGGGTAGACAAGGATTATCTGCGCATAGAATCATGAAAGTTAGAAAAGGCCCTCCAGCCTGATTCCATACTATCTGGAATCCAGTTTAAAATCTCTAATGCATGGCTTAAAAGTTGCTTAATAGCGAGGTAGGTGGCATATAAATTCAATAAACAAATAGCTCTTCACAGCTCTTGATCACATCCAGTAAAGAGGAGATACCACTACATTAGTGATATGTTCCACTATGAAAATTCTTCCACAATGGCAAGTTCCCTGATACTCAATTGGAAATTGTCTTTCTGTAATATAAATCTATTATAATATGCTCTTCTTTATAGTAGGCCTTGAAGTGAAGAGTACTTTGACATTTCCCCTCAATCGTTTTTTCTCAAACTACACATACCAATTTTCCTCAGTCTCTTGGTACAGAATTTCTAATCCCTTGCTTTTCTTATATGTCATATAAAATGAAGAGTCAACTTCATACAAATCCTTGGGATCTCTACTTATTATCTTTTCCCAGTTTGATGAGCATTATTTGAATAAAAATATTGATGAACTTCTTAAGTAGTTTGCAAACAATATCTTCAACCAGCAAGCCATTCAGGTACTTTATCAACTGTTCTACTCAAGTCAAGTTATATTACCGTAGATCTGCAGCATATTTTCCACAAACTCACTAAGACATTAACCAATAAAAAATTAAGTCAGCAAATCGTGGGATATACAATATATATATATAATTCTGAAGTGCATATTAGAGCAAGCAAACTGAAATTACCTGATGACCCTGGAAGTAAAGGAGATGCATAACAAAAATCAGGTTGTTTTCTTTTTCATGGTCTAATGTGAGTCAATATATGGATACGATAAAGGACATTGATCCCATTAGAAGGTGCTAAGTCAGTAGAAAGGGCAAGCTTGGAATATTTTTAGAAGAGTAGATTGTAGAAATGCCAAGTCAGGCCATAGTAAATTAACCCATGTTTTCCTCATCCCTTATTCCTGCAATAAAGGTCATGTTATACTTGATACTGCTTCTGTAAGCTTATGTATCATTTTTTTTTAATTGAGAATTTTTAAAGTTTTACAATAAAATATCCCCCCCTCCCACCCCGCCATCACCCTCCCCCCTCCTTCCTAGAGCTGAATACAGGGTTAAAAACAACAAAAAACATACAACTTAAATGAACACCAAACAATTATACATACATCCAAAAAACAAAATTTTAAATACTTTAACTCCAGTACATAAAAGCAAAGATTCTAACCATTACTCTTAAACATAGATTATTCAAAAACTAAGTAATACTTTCTAATCTCATATTTATTCTGTATAAAATTCACCCATCTTTTCCACACCAAAATATATTTCTCTTGCGATTGATCTTTCAGATAAGCCGAAATTTTTGCCATTTCAGATAAATAAGAAACTTTAAGAAACCATTCTTCTAAAGTAGGCAAAGAGTTCTTCCAATATTGCCCAATCAGCAACCTTGCTGCTGTAATTAAATTCAACATTAGAATAATTTCTTTATCATCACAATCAACAATAATACCTAACAAAAACAATTTTGGTGTAAATTTTATCCTTCTATTAAAATTTTTCTGAATGTTCCACCAAATCTTAATCCAAAAAGCCTTTATATTTCTACATGACCACCAAATATGATAGTACGTTGCATCCAAACAACCACATCTCCAACATTTAGGCTGCACATTTGGATACATACGAGACATCTTTTGTGGATCAAGGTGCCAGCTTATGTATCATTTTTATGATACATAACCCTAACCCTAACTTGTAGCCTTGTGGGCTTTGGGATTCTTTTGCTTTGCATTGGCAAAGAATCCAGTGATCACTGTAGTTGTTTTATGCCATTAAAAGATATTTTGTTGCTTTTATCTCCACAACAAAATACATATTGACGGCTGGTTGAACGCTGTTTTCAAAGTACCTACGATTCAATCATTTTTATATGTTGTAGATTAATCTTTCTAGATTATAGGTTCTGATATTAGACTGATTGGAATTCAGATTTTTTCCCCTTTTCCCATTGTTTTTGTCCCCTCCCTCCACCCTTTTGTGAAAATAAGGAATCTTTGTTCTTCAAGTTTCTACAGTACTTTAACATTCAATCCTACCCTTGGAGATTTGAATTCATTCAAGATTCTGTCAAGCTCAAAACAGAATATTAATCCTTCAGACCAGTTTTTCCAACTGCCTATGGATCATGCAGCTTTCTAGAAAAGATCATTGAGTATTTCTGTCTAATCTCATACTTCTGCCATCTTCATAAAGTAGTTGAAGTTCTTTTCATTTTCATTTAAAAACATATCCAAAGAAATCATTTTTATTTCTTCTCAGCTAACCTTAGTTCACTCTAAAGTTTACCTTTTATTCACATTATCTTTAGGAATCTGGCTATCTCTGCATATTCTTTCTTGCAAAAGTACTTCTTTCCACTGCCTGCATCTGTCTCTATTTATTTTAGGTTTTGTGTAGTCATACTAGCTTTCAATATTGGGTTACATTTTCTCCCTTGATAGAATTATTTTGTGCTTTTGCTATCTCTTTTTTTGCTCTCTAGATATTTGGCTCCTTATTAACCTCACTTACTTACTTACTTATTTACTTATACTTCTCTTACTTATTAAATAATTAATGTTTATTAAAATCTATTTTAAGAATACATTTGACTAACCTCAATTTATCTCCTTCAAATCAAGAAATCCAGCATTACATGGTTATTTCTTTCCAAAATGTCCACTACTTCTCTTTGAACTCTTTAGTCTTCCCAATTGAGTGAGACCACCCTCAGTTGGAATAAAAACAACAGCAAAATCTATTTTTAAATGCTAAAACCAGCTAAACTCAGAGAACTATGAAAAAGGATAAACTCATGCAAAGACATGGATGAACAAAAGGACTTAAGAATCAAAGCAAAACATTAATTCCACAACTTTGCATTTTTTTGAGTTAAAATTGCAGCAGATAATAGGAGTAGAAATTACAGGAAAATGAAAACTTTCAGATTTCAAACTTTTAAACTATTTTTATTGAAACATCAGATGGGCCCAAAGATTGCAGGAATCAGATTTCTAAACGTTATATATACCTAGCCCATAATTTTTCACTCTGATTTCCAGTTTGATACTTTGATACATCTAAAGTAGCAAAAGGAACCATCAATGCTTTGAGGATTTTTTTGTTTTGTTTTGTTTCTAATATTAAGAGTAGATAGTCTTTTTGAACTTGGCAGTCTCCTATATGTAGCACTGGCTATGACTACCAGAATTTTAAACCTGCAATTTAACAGCCATGTTGATTTTGATTTCTGGGAATTGTAGTCAAAATCAACTGGAGAGCATCAGCCTAAGAAAGGCTGCCACAGATACTACAATAAAACGTGGTTCACGCTAGCAGCCAATAGAAAGCAACAACATGCAATTCCTTATACAGCCACTATGTCTTAACTATCTAGAGAAGGTCAGCCAACCCGGACAAGGAAGGAAGTTAAAAAGCTCTTCGTATTCCCTCCCCTTTCAAATCATGTGAAGCTATGCATGATGCGTTCTATCAAAAAAAAACTAATAGTTTACAAAACATTTTGTAATCCTGTCAATTCGCCCAGCCTTTAACGGTCGTTTCTTGATTTGCAGGGGAACAGCTAGAAAGGCGTACTTTATTATTTCCAGAAAAGATGGGCAAAGGTAGCGAACTCCACTGAAATGTAGGCGGTTCGACACGCATATTAACAGGCATGGAGTACTGTGCGTCTTCTTGGGAAATGCAAGCCCTTTCACGGGCAGCGTCGGACGAGATCTCAACTCCTTAACTGAGGAAAGAAAACCGAACAGTGACAATATGTTTTGCCCAGTTAAAGTGCACGGCTGCGTTGAGGTTGGGAGTGTGAAAAGAAGCTGCTCTAAAAAGATAAAACTGGCCAAAAAGAAAAAGGCGAGCATCTGAGGGCAAAGCGGGGCACCAGAGGGACGGGGGCGTAAGGAATGCGGACGGCCGTCACGGACGGCGAAACAACAAATAACGCGAAAGGGAGACGGCAGGCCTGGACTCCGTCCCTTCTGCCCTGCCACGGCAGGCGCGTGTGAAGCTTTCTCGTACGTGAACTGACGGCGGCAGTAGCGCCCTCGCCATCCCCCCTCGCGCCCCTGCGGAGACGGAGGGCGCAGGAGGAGGAAGGAGGACGAGGAGGCGGGGGCAGCTGCAACGGAGCAGCAGCAGCAGGAGGAGGAGGAGGAGGAGGAAGTAGCGGCGGCAGACGAGAAGGGAGCTTGGCGGAGGCGGAGCCGGCGCTTGAGCCCGGCCGGCCTGGACTCAGCTCATTACGACGGCCGCCACTGGCAGCGGCAGCGGCATTGGCTGCCTTCGGTGAGTCCTCTTCTGCGCGGTTCCTGTTCTTACGCTTCCTGTCCGAGAGCCGCGCGTTCGGGCGGTGCAAGAACGGGAATCCAGGCCTGGGTTGGTTGTGGGAGGTGGTGGGGGAACTCAGGCCCCGATGAAGCCAAGCGACGGCCTTTAGCGTGGAAGTCTTCCTGCTTGGCCTGACTCTCGGCCTTAGTTCGCCCATCCCTGTTCAGCCCCGTTCGTTTCCCCTTTTGTTCTGTCGGGGGGTTGCAGCTGCACAGCCGAGGCCTGGGGGGGGGGGAAGGAGCTTTGCTGGCGCCTGCGAGGGGATAGGGAGGCGCAGCGTGGTCATCCAGGGGACTGTCCTGCGGTTTTATCCCGGCTCTCTGTTACAGCCTCCACCTTCCTAACAGCTCCCCCATCCCCAGCCAAAATCAGCTGCGCCCGGACCCTAAGGAATCGAATCACCCCTAAGAACAGCGTTGGGATTGGGTTCCCTTTGGAGTTCGGGGCCACCTGGAAAAGTCTGGCTTATAAACTTCCTGCTCACCTTCTAAGCACTTTTCAACACCATCCTGATGTTCCTTCCTCCACCCTCTGAAGTCCCAGGCACTAGTATGGGTGCCAAAGGAAGGGGGGGGGGAGAACTGCAGTGTGCTTTTATCTGTTTTTATTCATTTTGAGAACCCCCTTTGAACTGCAGGGTGAAAGGCGGGGAGAATAGGGAACAGGCTGAGATTGATGATGGAAGGATCTGAAGAACTCCTACTGGGAATCCAAAGTATAGCCCCATACCAGCCTCCTTTCTTCTTTCACACATCAGAAACAATGAAGTCTAGACAATTAATTTTGTTCTAAAGTAGGCCTCTCACAAACCGAGTCCAATAATCTCTCTGAAGTAAACATTCATTAACAGTACACCATCCTCACTCACTTTCATCTTGGAAAAAGTGTATTTAACTTGTTAGTTGAGACAGTTGGCTCTAAGGCTGGTGCCCAAATGGTACAAAATTCAGGGAAACTATGTTACTTTCTTTGTGTAAATATCCTGCATAAAATATGTAGAAGGTGATCCTAAAGTTGTATTTCAACTTTTACTGAAGTTTTTTTTTTCAGGGAGTTTGCCTTTATATAAAATTGAAAACAATCTATAAAACATGTATTAAAGTTCATATGCTAGTGTAATTTTAACAGGAGGAAGGCTTCTGGTGAAGCTAAAATAGTATGATGAGAGTCATGTATAAAATGGCCTACATAGAACATAACTTAGATCTTGTTTAGTTTCTTGTTCATTTCTATGTGCATTGTGTGCAGTTAAGCCTAATATCAGTGTGAACACATATTTTTAGGGTTGGGGTGTTTACAGTCTGAATACTATACATTGCCAAGATTCATTTCTACATTCTAATAATTACTTCGTAAAATAATTTGACTTCTGTTGCTACTGTACCCATACAAATGATACAATGCGGATTTTAGTTAACTTTAATAGTTTGAATTAATCACATATCCAGGAACTAGGGACTGTCCATTCAAATGCTCAAGGTTATAAACCTTGGACTTAGTACTGGAATAGATACTTTGTTTGCATTCAATGTTTAAATAAGTTTAAATATTTTTAATAGCAAAATCATGTCAATGTGTTCAGTAAACTCATCCATTTGTGGCCTATAAAATTCTAGGAAACCAGATAACTACATGATCACATTTTGGTTTTTAATATTTAACATAGATTCTTCAGCTTACCTTTCTCTTCCTCAACATACTACAATTGTGCTTATTTTGAATTTAACTATCATTTGCAGATATAATAGATACTGTTTTTCAGATCTGTAAAAAAAAAATCACATTGCATCATTTACCTAAGTGTTAAAAGACCACACTTATTAGTACTATAGAGTTAGCTGAAATCAGTTCTGAGAGAATAACTTGCTTGAACTTTGTATCTTCCAGTTGAGTTGAGCTAGAATGTCCAGGCAATGGTGATTCTACTCCAGTTAGCATGGCCATTATAATTTAATAAGTCTGGATGCACCAAGTACAGAAAGTTATAGTGGAGAATTTTTTTCATTCTGTGTCCATGACATATGTAAAGTATCTTTGTTGCATCATGGGTAGCCTAGTTGTCTTTTTACTATCATACAGTTCAAAGATGGAAAGACTGAATAAAATCTACAATTAAATATAAAATAAATGAAATACAATAAATGAGACAAATTTATGCAAAAGTAAAGTTCATCTGGTGGTGACTAATTTCATCCTTAGTTTTTAAATATTGGATGAGGTTCTCCTGTTGGTGGGACACGGAAATTGATTCATTTAAAAAGTAAACTTTAAAATAATTTGGGATAATTTTGGTTAGCAAAATGTCCTGACTTCCTGTGATGTTGCATAAGGTCAGCATAAGTGGCACACCCAAAAGCTATATATGAGCATAAAGAGAGGAAACAGATTTTTTTCCAGTGACAAAATGTTGTAGTTTCAATTCTCTTCAAAAAACTGAATAATAATTGTGCGCTTATTACCTGGTAAATAGTTAACTAAAAAAATGGTAAAAGTGCATTGGGATTTCTTTTCATAATATATACTCTTTCATTTCTGCCTCCCTTCAGAACTACTTTCATTTTTTCTTAAATTTCCTGCATTTAGCAAAAATGAGCGTTCTGTTCTATATATCACTTCCTCACTACATGATTTATATTGACATATGAATTGCTTTTTCTTCATCTGCATTTAGTTATTTATGCATTTATTATTTATTAAGTGTTTTTATATTACATCACAGTTCCAAAGGACTTTTATGTACTCTTTCAATTTTTTTTCCTAAATTCTTATTTTCTACATTTTAATAATTGGATATGTTGTTTTTAGTTCTTTTAGTTGCTAGTTTAAAGATACAATACAAATAAAAGATATTGACAGTTTTAGTGTAATTGTAAAAATAAAGGAAAAAGACTGGAATATACTTACCTTTCAGAAAAAGCTAAACTTTAATGCTATCTGATAATATTGTATCGATGGTATAATACTATTCAGGTTTAGTGTTAAGTATTTTTAATTAAAGACTAGAAATGTTTCATGTAGCAAATTTGAAATTATGGATTAATCATTTTTACTCTCCTTTATTTAAATTTATTTATTTATTTATTTATGAAACTTATATACCGCTTTAAGTGCAAGCACTCTCTAAGCGGTGTACACCAGTAAGCAATGCATATATATATTTACATTGCCCCCAACAATCTGGGTCCTCATTTTACCTACCTCAGAAGGATGGAAGGCTGAGTCAACCTTGAGCCGGTGAGATTTGAACCGCTGACCTGCTGAATACAGTCAGCTAAAGTGGCCTGCAGTACTGCACTCTAACTGCTGCGCCACCTCTGCAGAAAACTCAAGATGCAGCAAATGGCCTTTCTAAATTTAACTGGCAAAGCTTTTTTCTAATTGTACTGTTCTATACAACTTTCTTAAGAGAAGATTTTATTGGGCAAAGGTAGAATTGCTACAGGAATAGACTTAAGTACTCAAATATGTTTAATATTTCTCATTTACTGATATAAAAGAATGAGATGTAGAATTCATTCTTGATGAGGACATAGAATGAGTATAATTTTATCAAACATTAATGAAATGGCACTTCAAGGAAATTATTTGACTGGAAATACATAATATGATATGTTATAAAACAAATTATTGGTTAATTATTTAACAAGCATTTTAGTTGAAGCAAGTTAAGGTACAGTCTTCCTGGAGTAAGGCTTAATCCATGGTGACTATGTGGACAGATCTATGTCGCTTTCTTGACATCAATATGATAAAGATTTGCCATTCATCTGTTTAATCATCCAGCCTACTGTATTCCACTGTCCTGGATTTCTTTGTGGTTTTTAATCCAAGAACTAATCAAGTTCAAGACTTTATCTTTTATCTTTTTCAAGGTCATTATCAGTTGATGTATGGAATGTTTTATATCCATAGTAACATCAAACAATAAAATTACCTTAAAGGGAAAGGCAGTTAGCGTCATGTAAGTGCTATCTGGTGACAAATGCATGGCTTTTAATATAGTATACTTACTGTATTTTAAGCTATTTAAAAGAAATAATCATTTGTTATCTTGAACTAAGGAAGTTGTGTTATTCATAAAATGCATCCCTTTGAACTTCCAACAGATAAATACTACGATACTTTATTCAAATAATAAAACAATTGTTGCTGTGAAAACATTTCAAACTAAAAAATCTGGTGGTGATAATTTTATAGCTATGAAGTTGCTGTAAGTAGCTAAATTCAGTGGGAGGCATAGGTTTGAGTCAAGTAAGTACAGGAAGACCAGTCTAGCGATGATAAATCCTCCCACGGATGTGTTTCTAGATAATAAATAATACATGACTCTTTTCTTCCTGTGACCAACAAAAGGATTTGGTAAAGCCTGTGTTACCTTTAATTCAAATACCTATTCCTGTGTATTATAGACAGTGCTAAGATGTTCCAGGGAGGAGGCATATGTTAAACAATCTCTTTTTCTTCTTTGGGAAAATGGATTCATAAATGTTTAAAAGAATACTGCATGTATATTGTTTGATTACTTGATTACTTGGATATTCACAGCTTACAATATAAAAGCCAATTGTATGTGAACTAATAGGTGTGGTTATAGGTGTGGATCTTGATCGGTGATCATTCATTAAACACCAAGGTATTTCACTTACAAAATGATGAACTGCCAGTTAAAACTTATCCTTGTGCCTCAACTTTTGGATTAGAAAGCAATATAAGCATTGCAATTGTTTTGATTCTATATGTTACAATTATGGAATTTAGGTAATATTAAAAAAAGGAATGGAGAAATTGAATACTAAAATAATGTGTACTCCGTGTGTGTGTGTGTGTTTCTTGTTGATAACAGTGGGGCAAAAAAGTATTTAGTCAGCCACCAATTGTGCAAGTTTCCCACTTAAAAAGATGAGAGAGGCCTGTAATTGTCATCATAGGTAGACCTCAACTATGAGAGACAAAATGAG